CACACACACACACACACCTGGATAGTGCACTAACTTCCATTCACTTCTTTACCGAACTCTAAATCTAACCATTATAAGACGTGCATCATAATAAATTTTTAATATCATCATAAAGGGGATTTCAGTAATTCAATTTAAAAAGTGAAATTCCTATAAAGTAAAAAGTCAGTGGTCTGAGACCACGTTGTTTTTGGCACCACTTATCCCCAAAGATAGAAGCTACTGTATTAAGCCAAGGTCTTGAGCTAGTGTTGGAAAAAGCTATTGATATGGCCCAGCTGCACATTAAACTGTACATGACAGTCCATGCAGCACACTGGAGAACTGACCAGGTTAAACAAGTTAAAAGCATAAAGAATGTCAAACACACACATACTCTCACCACCTGGGTTTAACTAAACATGACACACACTTCTTTGTTTTTAACTGGAGCGTTCATGTGTCGTTTTGTTTTTATTCTCCACAGAGAGCAGAGTGGTCTATCGCACGMTACTCCCAGTGGCTGGACGACCACCCGTCTGAGAGAGACAGACTGAACCTCATTAGGTGAGATGTTTTTCAAGTCTGGTCTTAGAACAGGTTGTATGCAGGAACTCCACTGCAATGATGTATTTGCTGGGAGTGATTGGCCTCCACTGGTGTGATGCTGTTGTCTCTGAGCTGCTCTGACTGCCGGTATGTAGGTCAGTYTAAACTCAACTTGTGTTTTATATAGTTTTACCTCCAGAGGGAAGGTTTTGCTGCCCCATAGTTAGCACCTACCAAGATGGTGGCATAGAGTGCCCTGTTTGGTCTATTTCAGTGGTTCAAACGATACTTTTTCCTCAGTCCTACACATAATGATGCTATCTTTGTGAAAGCCTTGAATGTAGTTCTGAGTTTATTCTTTAAGGCCCTGTCATACTAGACCAGTGGTTCCAAAACTTTTTATCTTATGACCCAAAAAATATCCATGGCAAAAACTTGTGACCCCAAATATTACTGGTCTGAGTACACAAACTTCATCAATAACCCTAAAAACATAGGCTTTTTGACAACTTAAACAGCTTGTACACAAATACAAATACTTATTTTTTACTTATTTTGTGTTTTTGTAATAGTTATAGGGAAAATATTACATCAGCAATTATTTTATTACCCTTTAAATTGATTTCTGGAGATTATCCAAGGTGCTTCA